AGAACCCCCCCCTCCCCCCCCTCCCATCACGATGGGTCGGGACCATTCTTCCCCTGGCGACCTGTCAGGCTACTCAAGTCTGATCCACAAAGCTGTTATGATCTCCCGTAAAAGAAATTTTACGCCTCACTGCCATTGTTCAAAGGACGCCATCGTGGTCTTTGTCTCCATTTAAAAAAAAGAGTGTTTGAGCCCAGGCTAAGAGCGACACACGCCATAAAGGGGAATTGTTCAAGTTTTCTATTAAGAAATATCGCCTTTTATTGACATCCACTTTAAGCATTCTTCCCAGCCTTTGTCTTGTGATCCCAGGAGCCTGTGGAGTGTCAGTCCCAGGAGCCTGTGGAGTGTCAGTCCCAGGAGCCTGTGGAGTGTCAGTCCCAGGAGCCTGTGTATTGTCAGTCCCAGGAGCCTGTGGAGTGTCAGTCCCAGGAGCCTGTGTATTGTCAGTCCCAGGAGCCTGTGTATTGTCAGTCCCAGGAGCCTGTGGACTGTCAGTCCCAGGAGCCTGTGTATTGTCAGTCCCAGGAGCCTGTGTATTGTCAGTCCCAGGAGCCTGTGTATTGTCAGTCCCAGGAGCCTGTGGACTGTCAGTCCCAGGAGCCTGTGTACTGTTAGTCCCAGGAGCCTGTGGACTGTTAGTCCCAGGAGTCTGTGTATTGTTAGTCCCAGGAGCCTGTGGACTGTTAGTCCCAGGAGCCTGTGTATTGTCAGTCCCAGGAGCCTGTGTATTGTCAGTCCCAGGAGCCTGTGTATTGTCAGTCCCAGGAGTCTGTGGACTGTCAGTCCCAGGAGCCTGTGTATTGTTAGTCCCAGGAGCCTGTGTATTGTTAGTCCCAGGAGCCTGTGGACTGTTAGTCCCAGGAGCCTGTGGACTGTTAGTCCCAGGAGCCTGTGTATTGTTAGTCCCAGGAGTCTGTGTATTGTTAGTCCCAGGAGCCTGTGTATTGTCAGTCCCAGGAGCCTGTGTATTGTCAGTCCCAGGAGCCTGTGTATTGTCAGTCCCAGGAGCCTGTGTATTGTCAGTCCCAGGAGCCTGTGTATTGTCAGTCCCAGGAGCCTGTGTATTGTCAGTCCCAGGAGCCTGTGTATTGTTAGTCCCAGGAGCCTGTGGATTGTCAGTCCCAGGAGCCTGTGTATTGTCAGTCCCAGGAGCCTGTGTATTGTCAGTCCCAGGAGCCTGTGTATTGTTAGTCCCAGGAGCCTGTGTATGTTAGTCCCAGGAGCCTGTGGATTTCAGTCCCAGGAGCCTGTGACTGTCCCAGGAGCCTGTGTGTCAGTCCCAGGAGACTGTCAGTCCCAGGAGCCTGTGGACTGTTAGTCCCAGGAGCCTGTGTATTGTTATTCCCAGGAGACTGTGTATTGTCAGTCCAGGAGCCTGTGTATTGTTAGTCCCAGGAGCCTGTGTATTGTCAGTCCCAGGAGTCTGACTGTTAGTCCCAGGAGCCTGTGGACTGTTAGTCCCAGGAGCCTGTGGACTGTTAGTCCCAGGAGCCTGTGTATTGTCAGTCCCAGGAGCCTGTGTATTGTCAGTCCCAGGAGCCTGTGTATTGTCAGTCCAGGAGCCTGTGTATTGTCAGTCCCAGGAGCCTGTGTATTGTCAGTCCCAGGAGCCTGTGTATTGTTAGTCCCAGGAGCCTGTGGATTGTCAGTCCCAGGAGCCTGTGTATTGTCAGTCCCAGGAGCCTGTGTATTGTCAGTCCCAGGAGCCTGTGTATTGTTAGTCCCAGGAGCCTGTGCATTGTTAGTCCCAGGAGCCTGTGGACTGTTAGTCCCAGGAGCCTGTGTATTGTCAGTCCCAGGAGCCTTTTAATCAGAGTGGACATACACTGCACGTGTGGTCCCACTGCACGTGTGGTCTCACTGCACGTGTATGTCCACTGCACGTGTATGTCCACTGCACGTGTGGTCCCACTGCACGTGTGGTCCCACCGCACGTGCGATCCCACTGCACGTGTGATCCCACTGCACGTGCGATCCTACTGCATGTGTGGTCCCACTGCACGTGTGGTCCCACTGCACGTGTATGTCCACTGCACGTGTGGTCCCACTGCACGTGTATGTTCACTGTACGTGTATGTCCACTGCACGTGTATGTCCACTGTACGTGTATGTCCACTGTACGTGTATGTCCACTGCACGTGTATGTCCACTGTACGTGTATGTCCACTGCTTGTGTATGTCCACTGAACGTGTGGTCCCACTGCACGTGTATGTTCACTGTACGTGTATGTCCACTGCACGTGTATGTCCACTGTACGTGTATGTCCACTGTACGTGTATGTCCACTGCACGTGTATGTCCACTGTATGTGTATGTCCACTGTACGTGTATGTCCACTGCACGTGTATGTCCACTGTACGTGTATGTCCACTGTACGTGTATGTCCACTGCACGTATGGTCCCAGTGCACGTGTAAGTCCACTGCACGTGTATGTCCTCTGCACGTGTAAGTCCACTGCACGTATGTACTGATGTCCACTGATGTACGCGTATCCCTCAATCCGTCCTCTTGACTGTTCACAACGACACTTAACAGACGTACTAAATTGCCCAAACCTAACCTACCCGAGAACCGACGAACAGAAAACGGGATACCCTTGTGATATTAAAACATCAGTGCATGGTTTTAGGGGGAATTGTACGTCAAAATACGATGTACTATAGAAGAGGGCGGACTGGTTCCCTAAGGCACGTATATCCATACTGCACGAGATGGGAAGGGTGTGTGGAAAGGCAGATAGGAAGAGTATGTGGAAAGGGAAAGAGACTATCCTTGTTTACCTTATCTGTTTCCCCTCATAATCTTGCATGTTGTGATCATATCTCCTCTGTTCCGTCTATCCTCTAGGGTTACTTTGACATGTAGTTTCAATAGCCTATTCTCGTTGGTTATCCCTTTTGGCTCTAACACTAATCTTGTGCACACCTTTGTTATTTTGTTTTCCATTTCGTCTTTCTACTCCAAAAGGCACAGATTCCATGCCGGTGTTGCTTGTTCCAGTACTGGTCTAATACATGTTGTGTTCCAGTACTGGTCTAATACATGTTGTGTTCCAGTACTGCTCTAATACATGTTGTGTTCCAGTACTGCTCTAATACATGTTGTGTTCCAGTACTGGTCTAATACATGTTGTGTTCCAGTACTGTTCTAATACATGTTGTGTTCCAGTACTGCTCTAATACATGTTGTGTTCCAGTGCTGTTCTAATACATGTTGTGTTCCAGTACTGGTCTAATACATGTTGTGTTCCAGTACTGGTCTAATACATGTTGTGTTCCAGTACTGCTCTAATACATGTTGTGTTCCAGTACTGGTCTAATACATGTTGTGTTCCAGTACTGGTCTAATACATGTTGTGTTCCAGTACTGGTCTAATACATGTTGTGTTCCAGTACTGGTCTAATACATGTTGTGTTCCAGTACTGGTCTAATACATGTTGTGTTCCAGTACTGCTCTAATACATGCTGTGTTCCAGTACTGCTCTAATACATGTTGTGTTCCAGTACTGCTCTAATACATGCTGTGTTCCAGTACTGCTCTAATACATGTTGTGTTCCAGTACTGCTCTAATACATGTTGTGTAGATTACTTTGATGGAATCCTGATTTAGGTTTCTAAACGATGTTCTAATGTTTGCCAGCGTCGCATATGCTGCTGATGTTATGTTGTTTATGTGTGCCTCTGGTGTTAGTGTCGGGGACTATATCTTCACTTAAATCTTCCTCACTTTTCTGTTCCTGTAGTTGCCTTCCTCTTATAGCGTAGCTGCCTCCTGGTCTCCTTTCTCCCTATCCCAATCTTCATTACCTTACACTTGTGTGGATTGAATTCTAACAACCTTTTGTTTGACCACTCCTAGAGTTTGTCAACATCCTCCGTAACTTCTTGCAGTCCTTTTTTTCCATTCTTCATCAGCTTTGCATCATCAGCAACCATTAACATGTCTGAGCTCTCTCCCTCGGGCAGGTCATTCACATAAATTAGCAACAGCAGTGGTCCCAGGATAGAGTCTTGTGGGACCCCACTTGTTACATTCCTCCAGCATGAAACCTCGTCCAGTGTTTCCTTTACCCAGTTGTCCCAGCCTGGCTCTCCATCTTGTACCACAGTCTTTCAGGAGGCACACTGTCAAATGCTTCTTGGCACTCTACGAAAATACAGTCTACCCAACCTTCTTCCCCCTCCCTCCCCCCGCCCCGGGTCTTATTTTATATCCCTGTCATAGAACTCTAATCTTGTTTCTGAGGTACGAGTTTCCCGTTCTAAATCCAAGGTGTCCCTTTTTCTTGTGATATAGAGTTGGTCTTCTCAAGATGCTTCCTCCCTTCTCCAGCACGTCCCACGGAGAATCTTGGCGGCAACAACGGGCTGTAATTTAGTGCCTCCTTTCTGTGCCTTTCTTGAATATCGGTACTACCTTTACTTTTTTTTTTACCAGGCTTTTTACGGGAGATTTCCTGTTACAAGTGTTTATTCACATTTTTAGATATTTGTTGACAAAGTATTTAGCCGCCTCCTTCAGCATCCAAGGCCGAGATGCGATGATGTGGGATGGTTTGTGAGGGGAGAGACGGGGAAGGTGTGTGAGGGAAGAGACGGGGAACGTGTGTGGGGGAGAAAGATTGAGACGGTTTGCGAGGTGGAGAGTTTCAAGGTGTGTTGTGGGGGGATGGTGGCTTAATGGAAGAGGGTGTGAAGATATTGACAGTGATAATGATAGTGAGTATTGTCTACCCGGGCACCGCCGGGTGAAGGCAACGCACACACACACACACACACACACACACACACACACACACACACACACACACACACACCACACACACACACACACACACACACACACACACACAAAGTTACAATGTGAAGCGGTTTGCCAGAATCTAATGTCCTGAGTGGCTTTCAGGTATAATCCTAATTTCTCCCTTCGCCACCTCCCCCCCCACCTCTCTGTCTCCCTCTGTCTCTGTATCTGTCTGTCTCTCTCCCACTTACGTTGTTATCGAAGACAGTGTCGGGCTTGTCGGCCACTTCCATGTACCAGGCAATCCACAGGCAATTGTTGAGGATGAAACTGAGGAACAAGTTTTTGTGAAGACGGATACGTGTACACTGCAGTGTCCTGTGGGAGAGAGGACACACGATGGACACATGAAACATCCGGGGGAAACACAGGGAGTTTATTGTATATATCTGTGACACATATGTGTTTATGCTTAAGTGAGGGAATTAACTCGAGGGTTATACGGTCTTTATGTCTCGGTGAGAGAGAGAGAGAGAGAGAGAGAGAGAGAGAGAGAGAGAGAGAGAGAGAGAGAGAGAGAGAGAGAGAGAGAGAGAGAGAGAGAGAGAGAGAGAGAGAGAGAGAGAGTGAGAGAGAGAGAGAGAGGAAGTTCAGCATTTGCAATGGCGGCTGTTTGTAGTTAACTATTGAACCACTTACCATAAGTAATCAACATGTTTGCTTCCTAACGAGCGCTAATTAGAGCCCGACAAGCGGCCTCTCACGTAACTACCCGGAAGTAGCGTGGCAATTAGTCCTTATGACCACTTGAGATCATTCTTTTCAGACATAATGGTGATTATAGTCTTACTTAATGATTCTAGTAAGAATCTTAAAATACATCATCTTTTCGTCATATATGTTTTACATTTAGTAATCAATTACTAATTCATTTAAAAATCATAGAAAAACGTTATCTAATGTATAAAAACGTTTTCTAACGTATAAAAACGTTCTCTAAGATACTTACTTGTTCAAGAAATGTTTCAAGGCCACGAAACGTTCTGAGTGAGATTTTATTGCGAATGTCTTACTGAATGTTAATTTTACTGAAAAACTTTTTTTTTCAGGATTTTCTTTTTTAAGTGAGATTTAAATTTCAAAATTTTGTTTCATATTTTCTTCGGATTGTGATTTTGAATAATTTTTCGAAGTATGTTAATGTTGATTATTGTTTGTACATAATGTCTTCTAAGTAATTCCTTCGGCAATATTTCTTAAGAATGTTCAGTGAAAGATAGCAGTGATAACAGATTGAACAATGAAAACAGTGATATCAGATAAACCAGTGATAGCAGAGATAACACGCCCTAGCAGACAAAGATTTCAACAGGGATAATAGCCTAGTGATAACAGACATATCAGTAATATCATATATATTAATTATATCAGATACACTAGAGATAAGTGATAACAGAGATAACAGTGATGAGAGAAATACCATAACAAAGATAACAGTATTGAAAATAACAATGAAACAGATTTCCCATAATATAAAATAACAGTATTAACAGATACAGAAGAAATGCAAGAGATAAAGGGATAACAGAGATAATTAATAACCGAGATAACAAAGATAACCTGAGATAACGATTCATATGGACTTACGCTTCATTTAAGTAACATCATATTGAGACGATCTCTTCAAATATAATCTATGGAATTTGTGATATACTCAAACATATCATATTATACCACTATATATATCATACATATATATGTATATTTATATATGTTGAGTATATCATACCACTCAACCAGCTGGGTCAGTATAATGTGAGGTGAATGTGAGGTGAATATGAGGTGAAATGAGGTGGATGTAGAGGTAAAATTATATGAATTAAAGATGACGGGAGATGAAGGTGATGGGAAGAAAAGATGAGGCGAGATGAAAGTGCAGGTAAATTCAAGGTGGGAGTGGAGGAGGAGAAGAGAATATGAGTTATATGTCATGTGTCTGTGAGGTGAAGTCGTTCTCAAGCCAGACATTTACCTGAAAGTGAAGTCGTTCTCAAGCCAAACATTTACCTGAAAGTGAAGTCGTTCTCAAGCCAAACATTTACCTGAAGTTGAAGAAGATGAGGAGGGAGACGGCGAGGGCGATCAGGGAGACAGAGTAGCCAGCGATATATATGGTGTTGATAAGCTGCCGCATCTGTCAACAGATGGCGCCAGGTTAGCTAACTTCTACTGAAGGCTAACTGCACAAAGTTAGCGCTTATAGGAACCTAATTGGGGAAAAGCATATACTCTTAGCATAAGCTAATTGGATAAGGTTATCTCTTAGTGGAAGCTAATTAGATAAGGTTACTTCTTAGTGGAAGCTAATTAGATAAGGTTACCTCTTAGTGGAAGCTAATTGGATAAGGTTACCTCTTAGTGGAAGCTAATTTAGGAAAGTTAGGTGACAGTAGGTTTCAATTGGATATAATTTCCTCTTAGTTGCAGCTAATTAGGGAAAATTAACTGTTGGTAGATTAGTGAAAGTTAATCAGGGAAAGTTAAGGGTTAGCAAAGCTTACTGTTGGGAATTAACTGTTAGTGATGCTTGCCTATCACTAACAGCTAAGTAGCTGCTGTTGCGAGCAAGTTAGTGGTGAAAGTTAGCTGGTAATTAAATTTGTTAGTTGAGTAAACTGATGCAAATTGATGGAACTGACGTCGCTGCTTGATGCAAAACATTAAATATATGGAAATAATTTACTATGTACAATTATCTATATTAAATCATATTCAGACCTGGTTACCAAGTATGTAAGATCTTTAATGTCGTGCCAATTTCTCAAGAGATAGATTTTATTTTAACGAATAAAACTTCTTAATCTGAACTCTCTAATTGCCATCGGATTAGCCTAACATAATCTGTGATGAAGTTACTTGAAAAATGGATAGAAAATTCAATTTACTAACACTTTACTGACCTTACTAATAGCTTTAGGTGGCAAAGTGGTGTAAGTTCCCATGATCCAAATGGGGGTGTAAATCCCCATCAAGCAGCAAAGTGGCGTAAATCTCTACCAGGCAAAGTGGTGTAAATCCCCACCAGGCAAAGTGGTGTAAATCCCCACCAGGCAAAGTGGTGTAAATCCCTACCAGGCAAAGTGGTGTAAATCCCCACCAGGCAAAGTGGTGTAAATCCCCACCAGGCAAAGTGGTGTAAATCCCTACCAGGCAAAGTGGTGTAAATCCCCACCAAGCAAAGTGGTGTAAATCCCTACCAGGCAAAGTGGTGTAAATCTCTACCAGGCAAAGTGGTGTAAATCCCCACCAGGCAAAGTGGTGTAAATCCCTACCAGGCAAAGTGGTGTAAATCTCTACCAGGCAAAGTGGTGTAAATCCCCACCAGGCAAAGTGTGTGTAAATCCCCAACAGGCAAAGTGGTGTAAATCCCCACCAGGCAAAGTGGTGTGTAAATCCCCACCAAGCAAAGTGGTGTAAATCCCCACCAAGCAAAGTGGTGTAAATCCCCACCAGGCAAAGTGGTGTAAATCCCTACCAGGCAAAGTGGTGTAAATCTCTACCAGGCAAAGTGGTGTAAATCCCCACCAGGCAAAGTGGTGTAAATCCCCACCAGGCAAAGTGGTGTAAATCCCCACCAGGCAAAGTGGTGTCAATCCCCACCAGGCAAAGTGGTGTAAATCCCCACCAAGCAAAGTCATCCTTTCGTGTATAACTGCTAGAGCAAAACTTACAACAATAATTTAGTTTAATGCTACACATACAGGGTGGCCTTTTACATGACTGAAACGGCACTATTTAGCGTCTGAAAGAGATGCTTTCTAAGTTCTCAGTCTCACGTGACCTGCCACAGCCAATGGGAGGCAAGCAACACGTGGCATTTGCAATTGATCGAGGTTAGAAGTGCCAGCCAATCAGAACGAGGTCAGGTTGTCTCCTTCGGGATTCA